TTAAATGTACCATGTGTCTTTTTGGGGGGTAGAATTCCTATTGGGTGCATCCAAGTTCTGCCACAAGAAGTAACTTGACTTGGATTCTCTCAGCACTGTGGACACACTGGAAAGTCTACATGGTTGTGAAGGTGATGAGGCGACCTATTTGCAGCCCCTTCAGCACTAATTTCCTGTCTTATCTTTGAACATCTTAGATGAATTGATATTTGGCTTTGTTTTTGAGGTAATACGCGGCAGTGCACCTACTGTGTTGAGCTGCTACTAGAAATGTGGGGGAGGAGAGTTCCTGCACTCCATTAGCTAGTGTCACTGTGGTTTTGAAAGGCTTGTGTCTGACAACACATGCAGTATGGTAATCATCGGAACAAGCCCTCTGTTGTTTGCAGTTACAACAGGGGAGGTGATGAGGAGGCGATACAGGCTGATTATAGTCTCCAGACTCTAGATGCAGGTGCTAGCTCTCCCCAGAGCAGATGCACACTGACCGAAAGGGCAGACACACACAAATCAAGAAGTAAAAATAACCAGTGAGCTGTTTAATCAGTGGGATTCTTTATTAAAAAAAATCCCAATGAACCAGTGGTTACATTGGGGAGTAGCAGTTTTATAGCTTCAATACCACTTTTTAGCTTTCAACGAGGTTTGAGCTTGTCATGGTCTTGGTTAGCCTACACATCTAGATACCTGAATTGCCTTTTTAAGACACTAGGTGGAATCTCAGCGCTATCATCATATAAATGTATAATTTTACAACTCAGCTCGATATCTGTCATGGTAGTTATGATCTGCATCATCTGAATGGATTCAATCTTAAGGTTATTTTTATATCCAAGTAGTTATGCTGTTTTTCACTCACAACAGTTGGTCTTGTTTAAAATATACTCTCCTCCTTGCCGGGATAAAAACATTGGAGGGTACATTGTCTTCATGGCAGAGCAAGCAAAATAACCTCCATTATTCAGCATTGAGAAGTTCCAGACTCAGACTCCATCATCTCATATGGGCACACACACAACAGTGTGGGACGAATATGTGTAGCTTTTAACTGTGTGTTAGTCACTTTATAATTACTAGAGCTGACTGGAGGATGACAAGTCAATTAGATGGCAACTTTTGAGTTTCAAAATTGGTGTTCCACTGAGGCCTATACCTGGGTCTTCCACCTCCCTGGCCTGTACCCTAATCACTCAGCTATTCAAATAGCATGTCTCTCTTCCTGCCCTTCCCCTCAAAAAACCTTCCTGGTGAACATTTCATGGAACCCAATATGTCTTCATGAAACAGTTTGGCTTAGATAAAACAGAACATTTTGCCAAAATTTCATTTTAGCAACAAAGGTTCCAACCAGCTCTAATGATTATACTGTCTTTTTTGAGCAAAGTAATTTAAAAGTGACTGGATTTAAATAAAGTTAGGCTTTGAAGCTACCTCTAGTTTTGTGATAAATAGGTGCCATTTTACATCTCTGATGCAGCACGCTATACAGAAGTACTGGAACCTTAATATTTTTTCTGAATGGAAAGATTCTGCAGAGCAGAAAAATCATGGAATACATGAACACACTGGAGAATATATTGTCTGGAGCAATCCCACAATGGCAAGGAGAAAGACTAGATGATCTTATATTGCAGGTCATTTCCTGTCTAATTTAGCCTTGCCTCGCAAAACTGTCATGAAAACATACATCTTGGGCACAAAATGCACTCATCCCACCCTTTACTATGACTGAATAATTACGGTTACTGATGAATCTAAAGAGATTTTATTTGCCTTAAAACAAGCATTCATTACTTCAAGGGAGTGGGGGAATAGAATTTTGTTGTTAATTTCTTTAGTTGAAGATTAGAATTGGTTGGTTGACTATTTTATTTTTTGTAACCCTATATAAAATAAGCTGGGCATGTTTAAATTTCACATGCTACTCCTGACATCGTCCTACTTCGCTCAAAAATCCAGTAGCTATGTGGGAAAGTGGATGGTTCAGGGGAGCAGTAATAGGATGCAAAGCCATACACTGCAAAGTTGCCAGCTTGAATCTAGCTTGGGTCTCTAGCAGCTTAAAGGTTTTTAACCTTCTGATGTCTGTAGAATGGCTGGTCTGGAAAGAGTGAGGCGCTTCAGTTCGGTTTCTATCGGATGTGTATCCACATTACAACATCATAGTCACAGTTGATTACCTCGGTGAGTACCCTCAGCAGAGACCCAGGATTTAATGGGCCCTAGACAGTAAGTCCCTTTCTCAACGTTAGAAGTAGCCTGCTTAGGGCAATACTGAGGCACAATGAAGAGTGGATAGGAAGAGCAATGTGGGAGAATCTTGGACTGCTGCTTGAGACTTCGTACTTTTGGCAGAGGATGTCTGTTTCAAGGGCTATCAATCTGGCAGCCTTCACCAGTATTAAAGTCATTTACATTTAGTTTGCTCTTGCAAACTGCCTTGCAGAGTAGAGGATTTTATTTCTCAGGCTCTGAATGAGTATGGAAGGCTGACCTACCCTCTGCTAATACAGTCTATGGTCTTGATTTGCCTTTAAGAATTACTGAAACTGTACCGTGGCTTCACTGATTCTCCCCCCCCCCCCCCACATGCACACACACACACACATTAACCACCACCTTTTAAAAAGCTTTTGAAAGAGCAACAGCGTTTGCACCCTTTGTTCATGCTCTGTAACTAAAATTAATCGGATATTTGTAAAACGGTACCTGGGCTATCAGACAGTTTAAACTGCACTGAGTCGGTTCTTAGTGAAGAAGATGAGATTGGAATTACTCTGCTACTTAGCACCTACAGTAAATAAAACTCTAACACAAAAAGACCATGGGGGCCCTTGCCAAACAGTGCCTCATTACTGAGTTGGGACCATTAGAAACAGTTAGTTAGTGATATGCGAGGTGGTTTGGGTAATGTAGGAACTACCCCAAACCTTTGCATCATGGAAACTTCTCTGGGGTTTGGATACATATTTGTCATTTTCACACCTCTCTGTTCTTCCTGGTTCTAATCAAGAGCAGAAGAGCTGAAATATACTGAGAGCAGAGCTGTTCTTGTCATGTTTCTAGCTCAGATGGAAATTGTTAGTACCTGAAAACTTACAAAAGCCAAGATTCCCAGCCTGGTTTTGTTCTTGTGTATGGCTTATTGAGCCTGGTGGCGGGAGGGAAATTCCCCACTTCTGAATACTTTTCCATACCAAACCCCAGAACTTCTTGAGATGTGCTCATCCTTGCTTCTAGCAGAGGGTGTTGCTAATCAGTAGGGATGAGTGAACTCAGAGTTCAAGATTTCACAAACTTCTCTAACTAGGTTTTAGGTTCATAGGTTTTTCTAAGTCATTTAAACTCTTGTCTTTTTTCTGTAGTAAGTGATAGAATCTTTTAAAAATACATCTATATTTTCCTAGCTAGAAGGAAAGCATATGTTCTGTATTAGGGATTGGAGGTCTAGTAGCCCTCAACATTAGGCTGATGCAAGTGGGTGCCCTATATTTGGTACATATAATTTTTAGGGCTGTTGATTCATTGCAGTTAACTCACACGATTAACTCAAAAAAATTAATTGTGATTAATCGCAGTTTTAATCACACTGTTAAATAATAGAATACCAATTGAAATTTATTAAATATTTTGATGTTTTTCTACATTTTCATATATATTGTATTCTGTGTTGTAATTTAAATCAAAGTGTATATTATTTTTATTACAAATATTTGCACTGTAAACATGATAAAAGAAATAGTATTTTTCAATTCACCTCATACAAGTACTGTAGTGCAATCTCTTTGTCATGAAAGTACAACTTAAAAATGTAGATTTTTTTTGTTACATAACTGCACGCGAAAACAAAATGATGTAAAACTTCAGAGCCTAAAAGCCCACTCAGTCCTACTTCTTGTTCAGCCAATCACTAAGACAAACAAGTTTGGTTACATTTACAGGAGATAATGCTGCTCTCTTTTTATTTATAATGTCACCAGAAAATGAGAACAGGCATTTGCATGGCACTTTTGTAGCTGGCATTGCAAGGTATTTACGTGCCAGATATGCTAAAGAATCGTATGGCCCTTCATGTTTCGTCCACCATTCCAGAGGACATGCTTCCATGCTGATGACACTTGTTAAAAAAATAATGCGTTAATTAAATTTGTGACTGAACTCCTTGGGGGAGAATTGTTTTCCCCTGCTCTTTTACCCGCATTCTGCCATATATTTCATATTAGAGCAGTCTCGGATAATGACCCAGCACATGTTGTTCATTTTAAGAATACTTTCACTAGATTTCACAAAACACAAAGAAGGAATCAACGTGAGATTTCTAACCAACCCAAGGTTTAGGAATCTGAAGTGCCTTCCAAAATCTGAGAGGGACAGGGCGTGGAGCATGCTTTCAGGAGTCTTAAAAGAGCAACATTCCAATGCAGAAACTACAGAACCTCAACCACCAAAAAAGTAAATCAACCTTCTGCTGGTGGCATTTGACTCAGAAGATGAAAATGAACATGCGTTGGTCCGCACTGCTTTGGATTGTTATTGAGCTGAACTTGTCATCAGCATGGACGCATGTTCACTGGAATGGTGGTTGAAATATGAAGGGACATATGAATCTTTAGCGCATCTGGCATGTAAATATCTTGCAATGCCAGCTACAACAGTGCCATGTGAACATCTGTTCTCACTTTCAGGTGACACTGTAAACAAGAAGTGGGCAGCATTATCTCCTTCAAATATAACCAAGCTTATTTGTCTGAGCAATTGGCTGGACTTGCAGGCTCTAAAATTTCACATTGTTTTATTTTTGAATGTAGTTTTTTTGTACATAATTCTATGTTTGTAAGTTCAACTTTCATGATAAAGAGATTGCACTACAGTACTTGTATTAGGTGAATTGAAAAATACTATTTCTTTTGTTTTTTATAGTGCAAATACTTGTAATAAAAAATCAATATAAAGTGAGCACTGTACACTTTGTATTCTGTGTTGTAATTGAAATAAATATATTTGAAAATGTAGAAAACATCCATAAATATTTAAATAAATGATATTCTATTACTGTTTAACAGTGCGATTAATCACGATTAATTTTTTTAATTGTGCAATTAATTGCGATTAATTTTTTAATCGGTTGACAGCCCTAATAATTTTTAATTCTTTCTTCCTCCCTCACTCCCTTAAGCCCCTAGAATATGAAAACAATAGCACTTAAGTCAAAATTTCACACCCAGGATGTTCAAGTGAGTTCATAAGGGTGGAAAAAGGAAGTCTGCCTTCTCTGCTAAATGGTGATTGTCATAAATATAAAGGGAAGGGTAACCACCTTTCTGTATACAGTGCTATAAAATCCCTCCTGGCCAGAGGCAACATCCTGTTACCTGTAAAGGGTTAAGAAGCTCAGCTAACCTGCCTGGCACCTGACCCAAAGGACCAATAAGGGAACAAGATACTTTCAAATCTTTGTGGGGAGGCTTTGGATTGTGCTCTTTGTTTATGTGTTGGCTCTCTCTTGGAACTGAGAGAGGCCAGACAGAAATCCATCTTCTCCAACCCATCCTAATCTAAGTCTCCAATATTGCAACCAGTATGGGTAATCCAGGCAAGGTGGATTAGTTTATCTTTTGTTTTACGTGAATTTTCCCTGTGTTAAGAGGGAGGTTTATTCCTGTTTTCTGTAACTTTAAGGTTTTGCCCAGAGGGGGATCCTCTGTGTTTTGAATCTGATTACCTGTAAAGTATTTTCCATCCTGATTTTACAGAGGTGATTCTTTTACTTTTTCTTTAATTAAAATTCTTTTTTTAAGAACCTGATTGATTTTTCATTGTTCTTAAGATCCAAGGGTTTGGGTCTGTGTTCACCTGTTCAAATTGGTGAGGATTATTATCAAGCCTTCCCCAGGAAAGGGGGTATAGGGCTTGGGGGGATATTTTGGGGGAAGACGTCTCCAAGTGGTCTCTTTCCCTGTTCTTTGTTTAAAACGCTTGGTGGTGGCAGCATACTGTTCAAGGATAAGGCAAAGTTTGTATCTTGGGGAAGTTTTTAACATAAGCTGGTAAGAATAAGCTTGGAGGTCTTTCATGCGGGTCCCCACATCTGTACCCTAGAGTTCAGAGTGGGGAAGGAACCTTGACAATGGTGAATGGGATGGAGTAAACTGGGATTTTTTTTTTATTTCTAAAGACATTTTGCTGGGTGTTCACGGCTCCTTTTTGAAGAGCTTTACAAGTAATTTGATAAGATGGCTGGTGCCAGGCCATGCTGAAAAGGAAGAGAAGCTATAGACAATATGGTTGAATACTTGAGAATTTCTTAAATGTCATTAAAACGACTGCAAATTAGAGTGATGATTATTTCACTCTGTTTTAGGGGGGTGTGATTTTCAGCGTGTGCGTGTGTGTGTTGTACTGTGAAAGTGTTAATGGTCTTCTGGCTCTTTAAGAAGATCTCTTCTCTGTGATGTCTGTTCAAGTGAGGTTAAGTGGCAATGTGCTTTAACCAGTGAGCATGTAACTAATGGGGGGAGGTTTGTAATTTCCTGACAGCTCATAAACGGCAGAAGAGGCTTCTAATGCACTTTCTCTGCTGTGAGAGAAAAGGGGTCTGCTGATAATTGTCCAAGATTTTGATCTGATGGTATCCCAGAAAATGATGAGGATCAGGGGTTGGCTGATTGGGCGTGGAAGAAGCAGCCTTATTGTTGCTCTCCTGTGGGCAGCATTGGGAATAAAAGCTACAGGTAAGTAGAACCCTGCAAATCTGGGGTTATCTATGGACCATGTTTGCAGATTGCGGCTCGGATGCGGATACGCATTTTGTATCCGCCAGGGTTCTAAAGGTAAGGCCAAGCCAGGCAAGACGGGGGACGTTGCTGACAGTTTTCAAGCCCAATCTAGAAGTTAGTTTTCTATGCTGAAGAGAGAAGCTGTCTGGGGAATGGGAAAGGAGAGGTATATCTCAATACCCTTCCTAGACAGACTCTGAATCATGTCTGTCTCCTCATGTCTTCTCCATTGGTGAATTTAGCTCACTGGCACAGTGACTGAGGGTGTGTGTCCACTACAAGTGAAAGGTGTGATTGTAGCATTATACCCATGCTAGCTTTAAACGATGCAGTGTAGGCATGGTGGGCACCGGCTCAAGCACTAGCCAGCAAGGAGAGTATAAGCCCTCCAGGGATCCTGGGTTGTTCGCCTCTGCGGAAGCTGTGCCCCCACATCTACACTGCTATTGTTACCTATGCTGGCTAGATTAAAGCCAAGGTAGGTTTGCCTACCTATGCTACAAGCACTCCTTTCCCTTGAATAGCCTGAGAGAGAAGGTGAACTCTGACCTCAGAAGGAGGAATATCTAGAGCTGGCTAGAAAAAGGTTTATTTTTCCTGTGAAACATTGTGATTGTTCTTTTGAAAAACCAAAAGTTTTCAGTCAAACTACTGAAAATTGAAAATTTTAGGCTTTTAGGTTTTCTAATGAAAAATAAACCTTTTTTGAGGAAAGCTGACATTTATCAAACCCGATTTTCTGTTCACGCTCTCCTTGGCAGAAAATATTTGGCCAACCTGCGTGCCCTAGACCTTGTAGAAGATAGGTGGGGGATACTGTGCTATCCCTCATCACACAGTTCCACAGAAGGCCTGCCAAGAAACACTGAGGTTATGGGAAAAGCCAAATTATTAATTATTTGTATTTCAACAGCACCTGGAGGCATTAACCGAAGTCAGGGCCTCATTGTGCTAAGCACTGTACATGCAGAGTATGAGACCATCCCTGCCCCAAGAGCTTACAAGTCACCTGAAAGATCCTATTGGGATCCAGGAAGTGGGCGGGCAGAAGGATCCACAGGGGAGGATCCACAGGATCTGGAAGCCAAGTGATTTCAGGGGACAGCTAATGAAATAACAGGGACAGGAGTGCGGACAAAGGGTCAAACGAAGGGAATCTGACGGGGACACCGAGGAGAGAACCTTGGACAGTGCCCACTGCTCCTCGAAGGCATCAAGGGAGCCAGTGGACACCGCCCAGAAGAACTCTGCCCGGATGCGTGAACGGACGGAGGATCAGAAATAGGCCCCACAGTCACAGGAGGCCCCGTCTGCCAATCTCCTCTCCCTGGTTTTATCGATGACCACTTTAGCCAGGGCTAGGAGGAGGTTGACCACGAGGTCCCGTGACTTTGTGGGGCCACGGATAGGTAGTGCATAGATAAGAAGGTGAGGGGAAAAGTGCAGCCAAAAACGTAACAGGATATCTAAGAGGAGCCAGAATAGGGGCTGCAACCTGGCGCACTCCAGGTAAACGTGCGCCAGGGTCTCCCTCACGCTGCAGAAGTTGCAGGTGTCCGGGACAGGGGGCAGGTTAATGCTCATACAATAGCCTCTCCAGTTAATATCTGCTCTCTTACTCCCCAGGATGTGACATGCTTGAAATCATTTACTCATCAGCCAGTTTTATCCTTAAAGAAGGAGATCCCCTGACCTTGAATTGCACAGTGTGGCATCAACAGAAACAGCCTTCAGATCTGACGGTCTACTGGTGTAAACTGGCGGAAAATCAGAACAGCTGTGCTAGGGTTGGCAAAGATCTGGAATGCTTGCTATCAACAGAGCACTTAAATCCCCAAGCACGGGTCAGCTTGTCTCTGCTCCTGCAGATTCATAATGTCAGCCGTTCAGACAGCGGTGTTTACCAGTGCAGAGCCAATGCAAGTGACCAGACTGCTGTGGGTCACTATATCAGAGTGAATGTAACAGGTAAGCAGTGGTAGCTTTTAGGCTTGTTTTGGGCAGGGAGGTGCTAGAGGCGAGAGGGGCAACATATTCTTGTCCTTTACATTTGTCTTTGTACGATAAAAAATATGTCAGTGAATTGCATCATCTCATCCTGATGCAATGATATCACACGCTAATGTAACCTCATGATATAGGATCACTGTATTGTGACACTTGGAATCAGTTTAAGGCTTTTAAATTTTCTCTCCAGTTTGTCTTGCTGGATGTGGGACAGCAATATGAAAACTGAGGCGTTCTTGAATTTCAGATTGGCTGGTGGCCCCACTTCATCTACTAGGGGTGGGAGCAGCATGCTTTGTATTTTGGGTACCAAAGCAGTTCTTGTAGGTAATTTGGGGGGGGAAGGAAGGGGGGGCAGACAAGGGCATGATGAGAAGAGTGTTAGAGTGACGTGCTGCCAGCCTGTAACTCAGAGGCAAAGTTCATTCCCACACTGGCTCGCCTGATATTGCTCCTATTTTTAACCACAGAACCTGATACATTAACACGTGGCAAAGAAATGCTTTAAATTGAAGACTGGGTGTATATGAGCATGGAATCCTTAGTGTTGTGGATGAGGATCGCCCACAGCTGCCCTGAGGTGAATGTAGATTTTTGAAGCGTCCGTGCTCACAGAGATGGGGCTCACAAGGTCAGGGCCAGCACTGCTGAGCTACTTCTCACAGAGCTGAACTGCTTTTCCGTTTCACACGAATAAGAAAAAAATGCTGTATAAAGAAAGGACAGGAAGGACTGAGAAACACCAGGATCCCTGCCACCTTCCCCCCTGAATCCTCTTGGTTGATCATGCAATATGTTCTCATCTGAGCTACAAAATGACCCCTGCTCAGTGCTCCAAAGAAAAAGTACATCCCTGGGCTGGATACAGAATGTTCCTGAGCCGGACAGAGGAGAGTGGCTGAAAACCCAGCTGTCAAGCAAGTGCTGTTTGGGAAACTCTTCAGAAGTTCAGGGCAGGTTTGCACAGCTAATAAGCCAACAGGGAAGTCAGAGAAAGGCAGAAGCACAGCCCTGGAGGAATCATTCATACCATGTGGGATAGCCAGTGGGATACACCCTTGAGTATAGGCAATACCGTGTGTGGACTCTTATGCTGCAGCTTGAGGGAGGAGGGCCAGACAGATGTGGAGCATGTGTGTGTTTGACATTGTGCCCATGCTTGGTCACTTGCCAAAGCTATTGCCCCTGTGAATCCAAGCAGTTCCCTAGTCCAGACATTCTCTTTTCCACCTCCTTGTCCACAAATATAAACCAACATGCTATTCTGCCTTTAAATGACTCTTTCCACTTCAGCATCACTCTCCTTTCCTTCTGTGTTCCAGACTCCAGTTCCAGCTCCCCAAACCTGCCAACATCAGTTGGCCCCGCTTCTTTTCACTTATACAAAGGAATGATTTGCCTTGCAGCCACACTATTATTTTACACTTGCTTTTGCTCTCCCCATCCCCTAACCCCCACCTGTACATGTAATGAGTGAGCTGTGGACCACAGTTGCTAAAAGTGGCAACCAAACCTGAATTCGACCACACTGGAGTCACCTCACTAGTTCTTATGCATCATCTTCACAATGCGGTGCAGCATTGTAACACTGCAGCATGGTGTTACGTTGGAGCCTGCCAGAGTCACGTCTGTGATACTCTGACTGGGAGGAGCAGGTTCATGTTCTTTCCAAGCCATTCACACAGCCTAATTGTTAACAATGCATCAAAATTATATTCTCATTCACCATGCTGCGTGGCGCTTTCTCCAAAATGTTTCAACTCACTTTTAATTTTTTTTCTTTAGCTGCCTTCTCTGTGGCTTAAGAAAGCCGCTGTGGTTTGAGTTTACAGTGAGACTCAGGGCAGTTCCGCCAAGTGTTTTTACTTACCTGCACTTTGTTCATGCTTGTAGCAGAAGAATTAAATCATGTGAGTTCTTTGAACACCACAAGGAGTCCAGAGGCTGTCTCCCAAGGCAGCAAAGCTCTGAGGATGGATTCCTGGCTGGAAAAGACATGGGCACTGATCATGATACTCTGGCTGACCCTTTCTTAAAAGGTAGGAAAAGATGTATACATTCTCTAAAGAGAGAGATCCTGTGATCTGCCATCCTCTAAGATCATAGTAGAGCCACACAGCTGGATTTTCAGCATGACCCCGTTTTCCTTTTTCTTAAGAAAACTGCTATTTCGTGGAATGCTTCATCTCCCATCACTGCCATACCATAGAGATGAATGGACTAGAGTCCTTAGCCAGAAAGGCAAAGTGAACCCCACTCTTAGTAATGCCTTTGCTTTCATGGGGTGGCACAAGGTGCCACTGCTTCAAGCTTGGTCTCCTGCAGGCAGTAAGAGTGACATCTGTGGTTTTCTGACGACTTTTATGAAGCAGGCCGTGTGGCCCCAGAGCTGATTTGGCTTATGGGCTCTAAGTGTTTCCTGTTATATGTGGTCATGAGCCTCTAGGGATTCGCAGGCAGCCCTGAGATGTGGTAATGTGATCTGAGCCATTGTGCAATCAAATATTGAGTGTGAAGCCATTTAGTTGATTTAAAAATGAGATGGCCGTCTTAGAGGCATGATGACCCTTCAGCTTGAACGCTGGTCTGGCTTTTGGGGACTTAAGCCGGTCTGTATTTGGACAAGCTTATGCTTTGTTAATGTTGACATAGCACTTGACTCATTAATGGGCAGCTAGTTGTTTTTATTTCTTCAGGCACATGTGACGAAGATACAGTTTCTGGTGCTTGGGCAGATTCCTCTAAACAGCAGAGTAAAAGTTAACAGACTAAACTTCTATAAAGTTGTAATAGCAAATTCATTGTATTGCACAGGACTGCATTTCAGCATTTCATGGAACACTGTTTCTGAAGAAGGATTTTCAGTAGCTTAATGTCTGAGCACCTGGACGCCAGCTCTGCAGGATTATTTATTGTTTCCTATACTAGTGGTTAAGCCGTCAACACCCCCTCGTCAGACAGAGGGACTCTCACACTCGTCAGCATTGGAAGTGGACTTCTGTAGTCTCTGATGTCAGTCTTGTGTGTTTTGTCTCTGCTATTACTGAGGATGGATTTCTCAGTGTAGAGCATTTAAAGGGCAGGAAGAGATTTCTTTCCGTGTCTTCTTTCTGGACCTATCCAGAGAGATCTTCTAGTACGCATTGCCTCAACCTGCTACGCTCGCTCTTTAAAGAAAGATTCCACAGTGCTTCTTTTCTGTGCCACTCTGTCATCCACATTGTCTTCTGCCATGTTCTGTTCTACTACCTATTCTCTCTGGGTTGTTTTAAGGGTGCTGGAAGTTCTTATCTAATCCCAAGCAGTGGGAGGTAGAATTCTCTAAAGAGGGTTTTGCAGCTTTTGTAGCATTGGGATGGATTCCAACTGGATTTATACTACAGGTCAGTTTGGGGAATTGGAAAGAGAGACCCTCCAGGGATTAGCTCCTAGATACTTGTTTGTTAGTTTAGGTCCAAAATTGTGTGTGTATGTGTGTGGGGAGAGGGAACAATATAAGACTTTTTAAATTTCAGTTAACAACTTCTTTGGGGAACAATTGAACATCCTCCATGTGTACATTGTGGGCTTCTCAGAGCAGAGGTCACACCTTCTTCTCTGTTTGGAAAACTAGCACACTGTGGGTATTTCTGGAAATAGCTAAGTAATAACTGTAAACCTAAACACAGCAGCAGTGGGATAGTGCATGAGAACTTGAAAATGGCTGAAGATTTAAAGACTAAAGGTTAAATAGAATGTTCTACAAACAGAGACCATAAATGTGCAAATTATTTTTTAAAAATTCTTCCATTTTAATAATTGTAGACTTTTTAAATACAGCATTTTATCTTGACTATATGCTTTTAAAAACAGGTGGCTTTTTTGCAAATATAATTCTATAAATCTGCTTTGGGGCAATAGGGAGTTCCTTTTAGACACAAAATTTGCTACCAAATCTACATAGGAAGGCACTGTGTTTATATCTGTTGGCACATGCATGAGCATGATGCCTCTTGGTATTTTTGTTTCAAAGTCCATGAGTAGCTGCCCTGCTTCTGGTGTTTGATAAGCATGTCTGACCTATGCCATGTTGTAATAGTTGCGTGCGCTGCATGGAATGTAAAGGTAGAGAATTGTTCTATAAATGAATAAAATACATAAGTCATATGATGTCTATCTCCCTATTTATCACTGAGAATTATCCTAGTTATTTATCAACTCTGAAGGGCTGTGCTTCTTTTTATGTATACTCTGTGATTCCTTTCATCACAAGTAACCTGAGAGTAAGTGCTCCGTCTGAGTTGTTGAAATAATAAAGTGTTTGTTTATGGCTGACAGAACCTGGTGCTCAAAGAGCATCCTCACCTTGCAGAGGCAACATATGGCATGTGCGTTTCACCAGGCACGTTGGGCAGGAAGAACACCGTGTGATGCTATGGTTTGGGTTCCACTAAGATGACTCGGGCTCCGCTGAGGTGTTTTTAGGACTGTTATTCCTCAGACAGCACTCTGTACAGTCACACACAGGAACACGATTCTAGTTCTGTAGCATGGTATAGCTATACTCCCATCTAGTGGTGAAAATATAAGTAGCAATTAAATAAAGAGACTAATGAGAACTCTATTTTAAACTTTGCCAGGCACTGGAAGAGAAAATAAGGATTGTACCCGCAGAGAGACGCACTTTACTTAAGAAGCTAAAATCTCTTTGAACTTTCTTGAGTTTCTATATTCTATACAACATACAAGGTATAAGCCTTTTCATGTACAGCAGCTACAAGACAAGTTGTTGCAACCTACAACCCCCAGGCTATATATGTAATCCTTTCAGTAAAATGCATAACCCTTGATCACAGCAGGGCCACAACTAATAGGAGACCATGCAGCACTTCTATACTGGGAGAAAGGATTGAGTTTGTTTCCAGGATGGCTTGAAAGAAACAGAACATATTCCTCAGCTAAGCTACACTCAGTGTGACTCCTGTTTCTATGGAATAGCTACACATTATTTATCTGTCCAATACTGACAAAAAGTGGGATCCCAGATAGGTATAGATATTTACATGCAAAAACCTGTAACATGCAGTTAAGGCTGTAGACACTCTGTAGCCCTGTGCTCCCAGTGCCCTTCTAGCATGGGAGAGTTTGATTCCAAAAGCTCAAACGTTGGCAAACCAAGAGTTAAGGTGACATGTCGCACCAAAACAGCCTTCTTTCATCTCTGCCCGAAGGAGATCACAGTATCATTCTCTTCCCTCAGCCTCTGCCAACCAGCGGCAAGTACTCTTCAGATCAATGGTGCTGCACAGAGCACTGTGAGGGTCCAGTGGACTGTACCAATAGGAGCTCTGACTTGGAGATCTTTTGGGCACAGAGAAAATGGCAGTTTTGGGTGGGGGGGATGGAGGGGTTAAGATATTGTTATATTTCCAGGGTGGGGGCGAGGGGACACATTTGGAGTGTTGGCTATGGCTGGTCAAAAATTTTCCATCAAAACAGTTTGTCAATAGAAAACTGAACTTTTGAATGAATGAAATTTTCAATGGAAAATTTCTACTTATTTAAAAGCAAGACAAACACTATCTCCCCCAGCTACACATACACACACACACACTCATTTTCAGACTTTTGGCTGAAATGTTGAAATTTTCAGTGAAAAATAATCCGTTTTTCTGATCAGCTGTACCATGGCCAAGCTACCTCATGCTGATAGTACCTAATTCTGCTGGAGGATTTCTAGACAGAACACACAGAGTTCTGGTCTAGGCTGGGACACACAGAGTTTTGGTTGCTGACCCCTCTCTGTCTCTTAGTTGAGTAAACTGGTAAGTGTTAGGATATTGAGTCCAGAGATTATGGGTGAGATTTTCAAAACAGTTGGGAGACCTTTGTTAAATGTCAGTGACTCTCCCATGCAGAGATCAGAGAAGGCACCACCATTTAAAGTTACAGCACAGTTTAAATAGAGCTATAATGTAGGTAACTGTGTTATTAAAAGTGGCTTGCCAGAAGCAAGTTCTGCTAATACCTCCCAGTCCTCAAATTTATATATTTTTGGCTGTTCAGCAGTTGCAGTAACATACAGCAGAGTCTCCTCAGAAGCGAGCCATAACAATACACAGTGTAACAATCACACACAATTCAGACATTTGATAGTGGCAACTGTTCAAAAAGCCCAAAGAGCTCATTTTAATTAGTCATATACAAGCATCCACACCTCAGCAGGTTATTCTCGAGGGCCCTAGCACTGGTCTCTGCACTACTGTAGCAGGGTGGCTTGTCCTGTGGGCTGGAGAGTCTGGGGCTAAGTCACACCTGGTTACAGAATGAGCCCCACCTGAGCGGAATCAGGCAATTCCTCATGAAGAGCAGAGGTGGCTACAGCAAAAGGGGAAAGCTCAGGGAGAAAAAAGCATTCTGGTAGGATCATGATACCAGAGAGTTTGGAGGGTAACACCCAAGTGAGCAGGAGGCTTCTGAGGGGCAGAAAACCCTGCTTGTGTTTGGGACTGGATATCAGAGCCCCAGTGAGGGGGGGACTGGCTGAGAGATTGGACCAGGATGGAAGAGAGGCCCTAGCGCTGAGAGAACAGGCCAGAGCAAGTATGGACTTTTCTTTGTGTTGCTAGAATGGATTTTAGTTTGGGGCTGTAGATTGTTGTAAACTGCTTGTGGTATTAAACTAGCCCCATGCAGGGGTGCTGTTAACTAGAGAAAGCCTCTATGGGTTCTTAAAGGGCCCTGAACAGAGGAAAAACAAAGGAGGGGAGCCTGCAGAGACACCCCAGCCAGAATGGAGGCTCAGTAAGCAGCTGTCCTGCTACAACCACCACATTTCCTTCTCTAGGCTTTGTGCCCTTGAGCAGGTGCCTCCTGCCCATTCTGGACTTGATAGTCTATTTTAAGGCCTCTCCTATAGGGTTCTGGGATCTTCACAGAAAAGTTCTGACAATACCAACCAATCTGATTCATGATGCCCACATACTGAGGTGTACACATACATGAAATACAGCTCCCTTTTTAAATCTATTTTTAATGTATTTTTAAAAGCATAATGGGGGAGTTGGCCTGCCATCAAATGAGGGCTTGTTCACTGGATCCATGGCCCCAGGTATAAGGAAGATAGTGTGGGTATCTTGGTATAACTCGTGCAGGCCCAGGGGAACTATATGTACAGCAACTGGAGTGTGATGCTGCCCACCATATACTGGTTAGCCTTAAACTGCATCTGGCTCCTGGTGTTTCTAAGTTAAGTCTCCAGCATAACTTATCTCCAAGAGGCAGGGGTTCCCCTTAAAGAGACTTGCTGATCTGCCTCTGAAGCACAGAGCTCTAGTCCCTGAAGCGGAGGGCAATAGTGGATTAAAGCTGACTAGGTAGCAGAACCATGCTGCCTGCAACTAGATCTAGGGTAGATCCAGGTACTGCTGTGTGAGGACTCTGGCTGCATAGAAAACGTATGGATGTTTAGGCAATGCAACTGTGTCTCATTCTTCTGGTTACCTCTACTGTTCTATACTATAGGACATGTTATGTTGTGCATTTAACAACAGGGGGCGTTAACATTGCTCTGGCCACCTTACTTTTTTTGTCTAGTTTTAAGAAGTTATAAAGATTGTATGAAGGTGCTCTATTAATAGATGACTATAATGGTCCCCCCTGCCCTCACAATGTATGGCGCTGTGAGAGAGAAGCTGCTTTGTTTTAGAAGATGGGAACATGCTGTATGAGATGAGTGTTGTTTTGAAAAATGCAATGGTGAGTGAGGCCATGATTACATGTAGACCGGTGTTGCACTGTCCTCATGATCTGCACTGTGGCATATCTAAGGATACGTCAGAGGAGCATGGAACACTTTAGATCAGTGGTTGCCAAACATTTTTTTTCCCTGCGGACCACTTGAAAATTGCTGAGGGTCTCGGTGAACCACTTAATGATCTTTCCAAAGGTTGTTTGTACTGTTAGCTAACTATTGTAAAGCGCTTTGGATAAAAGCACTATATAAAAAAACCTTAATAAACTTTTTTGTTCTACAAATAAAACTCATATTTTAATATCGGTAGTCTTACCTTTCTAATGCGATGGATGTGCCCTCTCTCCCCCGCCACAGCAGCCCCCGAGCTGGGGCTGAGAGGGAGGGGGGTCTCTCCCTGGCAGCCACAGCCCTCGAACTGGGGAAAATCGCCTCTTTCTCTGGCCGCCACAGCCCTGCACATCCCAAATTTTCCCCCATCCTTCCGATTTTCCCCATGGCTACCACCTCACACGTGCGTCTTCTCCAGGGTTCAGGCACCTAATTAGTGGAGCCATGCCTGCGCAGCTCCACTAATTAGTTGGATGGCCCTTCATTCTCTTGTGTGCTGCTGCCCAGGCTCTCACCTTAGAGGGATCTAACCGCGGACCACCTGAATGGAGTTCGGACCACTGGTGGTCCACGGACCACAGTTTAAGAACCTCTGCTTTGGATGTTATAAATTCTAATACAGTAGTTCTCAAGCTTCTGTACTGGTGACCCTTTCACATAGCAAGCCTCTGAGTGCGGCCCCCCACCCCCTCATAAATGAAAACCACTTTTAAATATATTTAACACCATTATAAATGCTGGAGGCAAAGCGGGGTTTGGGGTGGAGGCTGACAGCTCGCAACCCCCCATGTAATAACCTTGTGACCCCTTGAGGGGTCCTGACCCCTAGTTTGAGAACCACTGTTCTAATAGCATTGATGCCAGTGTCTGCTTTTATTTAACTTTTTATTCTACTGCTTTGCACAGCGCAGGCTTTTGTAGCTTGTCTGTTAAATATGCACAATAGCTTATCTAAATGGTTAGTTTTTGTTAGATTTTAACTGTGAGCCCACATCCTCCTTGGGCAAGCCTTCACGCTGAGTCTGTTTGTAGCTGAGCTGAGTTGTAGCTGAGGGACAGTTTCTCTGAGGCACTGTTGCAAGACGTTATGGTTCTGTGAGAGGTCAGTAATCTTAATTACTTCTCCTTTAAAGTCGTGGTGATGATGGTAGAAAATACCATCTAAATCGCTGTGTGGCACACAAGCGCAGGACGGAGGGGATTGTGATGCCCATCTATGACCAGCACTACGCGGTCCAGGACTGAGATTGTTTCAGGCAGATCAGAATAGTCATAGAATCATAGAACCATTGGCTTAGAAGGGACCACAAGGGTTGTCTAGTCTACCCGCTGCCAAAATGTAGGATTTGTTGGTTAAACCATCCAAGACATTCATGGGCATCACAGTGAAAAAGAATGAGCAATGAGGATTTAGGAACCGAGTGAGAACAGAAATTGTTTCTAGTCTAGTAGTAATAATGACTTTGAATAGAACTTTGCATAGAGTTTGATTAAAAAAGAGCACCCTAGAATATTACTCAGAGGTTCTTTAGGTTTTTCGTTGTGACAATTGGATCTGGTGGGGTTTTTGGTTTTTAAAGGGGGTTGATTGAAAATGGAATTCAGAATATTTCATAGTTCAGGCTGATAGTGATTGAAAGCTTGTTCCTCTGCATTGGCTGTTTGACCTATGGCAGGGGTGGGCAAACTATGGCCCGTGAGCTGCATCTGGCCCATCGGACCTTTTAATCCAGCCCTCAAGCTCCCGCCGGGGTTAGGAGCTTGCCCGCTCCGGTGCTCCAGCTGGGAAGCAGGGTCAGGGGGCTTGCCTAGTTCAGTTCCACGCGGCTCCTGGAAGCTGGAGCAGCCAGGGGGCTCTGCACGCTGCCCCTGCCCCAAGCATCTGCTCTTCAGCTCCCATGGGCCAGGAACCGCGGCCAGTGGGAGCTGCGGGGGAGGTGCCTGCCGACGGGGCAGCACACAGAGGGGCATGGCCTTGCCTCCAGAGAGGGGACAGGCTGCTGTTTCCAGGAGCCTCTTCAGATAAGCGCCAGCTGGATCCTGCACCCCTGAGCCCCTGCTGCACCCCAGGCCCCAGCCTGATTGACCTCCACACCCTTTGATCCCAGCTGAGAGCACCCTCCTGCACCCCAAACCCCTCATCCCCAGCTGGAGCCTCACCCCCCATGCGCCCCAATCCCCTGTCCCAACCAAGAGCCCCCTCCCGCCGTCCAAACCCCTCCATCCCAGCCCAGATCTCCTTCCTCCACCCCAAACCCCACATTCCCAGCCCTCCCCAGAGTCACCCCCAGCCAGAGCCCTCATCGTGCCTCTGTGCCCCAATCCCCTGCCCCAACTGGCCCTCCACACAATTTCCATACCGAGATGTGGCCCTCAGGCCAAAAAGTTTGCCCACCCCGGCCTATGGAGATGAATTGGGGGTCTCAGTTCAGTTTCTAGTGGACAGGTATCCACATAATAAATTCCCATCACAACTAGTACCCTGATAGGGTTTTAGCAGGTGAGGGCGGG